GGGCTGCAGACAGAAGCTCCCGGGACCCTGGTGAGAAGGCCCGGCGATTAACAACCAGGAGTGGACTTCATTTACCAGAAACCGTCTTTTATTTACTTGCGTAAGCTTCACGCTCTCAAAGGCGGCAGAAGCCATTGCCTGAGATGTTCCTACAGAATACACTCAAGCCTTCAGGGATGCCGCCATGATGACCAGAGATGGTCCCTGCAGGGGAGCAGGGACTCAGACCCCAGCCCCAGTCTGCCCAGGAAGTAAGGATGCGGCCAGCAGCCCGGGAACAGCTCCCGCGGCCTGGTCACCTGCAGCAGGCTGTCACCATGACCAGGAGATGGTCCCTGCACGGGAGCAGGGCCGCCTGTCCTGTCCCCTGATACCGACCAGGGTCCTCGGCCTTCCCCACCAATAGAAAGTGACTATCAAGAGGGAGGGGACATAGGTACCAAGAGAAACTGTCAGGAGGGAGGGGACATACGTACATCTATGGCTGATTCATGTTGAGGTATGGCAGAGGCCAACCACAACATTGTAAAACAATTATCTTTCAATTAAAAATAAGTAAATTAAAAGGGGAAAAAACGGATAGGAGCTGGACAAGAAATTTAGGCAAGGCTTTATCAGGCCCCTGCTTCAACCCTGGGGAGGAAGAGCAACCAGCAGGTTCCCTTGCTCCTCACCCCCGCAGGGGCCGGGCTGGGTCCTTCTCCAGGGGGAGAGTGGAGCCAGCCGAGGGGCGGCTTAGGTGGGCTGTGCACACTCTGCTGGTGTCGTGTGCAAGAGACACGTGCAGTGCCCAGTGCAAAAAGTCGTGATTGACTTTTTGCAACCCACCAGGGACTGTGGGACTCTCCAGGCAAGAATACTGGAGTGGGTTGCCATTCCCTTCTCCAGGGGATCTTCCTGACCCAGGGATAGAACCCGCGTCTCCAGGCAGATTCTTTACCATCTGAGCCACTGGGGAAGATCCTCTTTTGCATCTGGATATTCAGTTATTCAGCAACATTTACAGAAATACTCCTTTCTCTGTTTAATAACTTTGCACTTACAGAGACTGTTAGGATCAAGTAGCACAGTGTGTGGACATGTTTGGGAAAACTTAAAGCGCTGGATCAACAGGAACTTAAAAACCCCACCTTCTCTGTGCCCAGAAGTTTTCATGACACGTGGGGTACAGCTCATCTCAGAAGAGCTCCAGATGCATCCTGTGCTCCGTGGGGTGGGGCGGGGAGGGTTGGGAGGGTGAGGAGGGATGAGGACTCAGAACTGTGAGGCTCAGTCCCTGGTGGAGCCTTGGGTGCAGATAGCAGTTCTGAAAGGCTTCCTGCCAGCTAACAAAGCAGAGGCAAGTACAGTGCCTAAGCCCCCAAATATTTATGTGATAACAGTGCTTTCTGAACCTGAGATCTCACTGTAAGTACCCGGACAGCCATATTTAGAGATGCTTTCCTTAGAAAGTATTTATTAATAATTGATTGGGCGATCACTTCTCACTTTGCCCACTGAGGACATTATTTGCTTTGTGTGCAGCACAATTGATTTTGTAAACAGAGTGTATTTAAACATAACTTGACAACAGTGATGATTTATTTGATGTTATCCTTTGAAATTATATTTATCAAGCCATGTATCTTTGGCATTTCTAATAGCTTCAGCCGAACAAAACCACCAGGAGTCAGGCCAGCCTCCCAGCAGGCGTTTAATTCGAAGGATCATACAAAAGAAGCGCCACCTCCCTACAAGGCCACCCCAGCTCTCACCTGAGGTCGGGGGTCTTGGGCACCCACCTGCCCCAGACAGCGCGTCCCTCCAGGTCACCCTCCCAGCACCCTAGGAGCAGGAGCTAAGACCCATGTTCCAGAGAAGACTGTGTGTCCCAGGGCTCAGCCTGCATCTGAGGTCCGGGGGCAACCCCAAACCACCGTCTGCTCCCCATTCTCCCCAGCGGCTCCCCGGAAACAGCCAGGCTCCGAGGACAGCGGCTCTCAGCCCAGTGGCCACTTGGTGTCACCACCAGGAGAGGGGCGCAGGCCCCTGGTGCCCCTGAGCCAGGTAGCGATGACCTGCGGGGCTGAGGGTCCCCCAGTCTCCCAGGGACATTCCTGCCAGGTTCTCAGGGAAGGGCCTTCCTCAAACACACACCCAAGGAACCCCTTCTTCAGCAAACACGTGCAAAGCCGGCCCAGGAGAGGTCTGTGCAGAAGCTGGGTCTCCCTGCAAACCTCTGTCCTGGGGAATGTGAGTGCAGGGCTGCCTGCGTGTCCCCCCTGCCGGCTGCCATTCATAAAACCCGTGGCCGAGAGGTCAGGTCTTTCCAGATCACGTGGAGGAGGACACTCCCAGCCACCTAGGAATCTCAGGGTCCCTTCTGTGTCTCCAGATTCCTGATGGGGCACCCCGTCCTCTCTTTCTGGTGCCCCCTCGCTGGCTAAGCCCCCAGCTCACTGCATCCCCCTCCCCGCCCCCGCCGTGTGTTTGCTGCATGCACCCAGCACCAGTGAGGGGCTCATCTCTTGTCCTGCATCCAAGCCTGTGTCTGTCGGGGGTTGAGAGGGACCTGCAGTGGGACCAGGGTCCAGTTCCTTGGCAAGTGGACTCTTTCGGTTGTGAAATGCACATTCATCTCTTAACAGCTAGGAAGAAACCAGAAAGTCACCCCAACAAGGACTGTAGCCTGGACAGTCCAAGACCCAGCACTTCTAGGGGCAGGACTCGGTACCACAATCAGAAACTTCCAGGACAAGCGGAGATGGCTGGGATCCCTCCTGCAGCCCTGGCTGAAGGCATTAAAACTCCAGGACAGGAACAGTACACCCAGGAACCTGCGGTGACCCCTACCCTGGCCCATGCCCAAATCATTTCCAGGGTCCCCTTCAGACTCCCAGGGAGCGGGCTCACAGGGGCTAAGCCTGGCCTGTCCTCACTCACACCCGGGACCCAGCCCCAGCCCCAGGGCCGTCACAAGCTTTGCCAAGAGCTCATCCCAGGTCATGTCACCCGGATTCAGACACAGACTTGGTCACGTGCTCCACGATGACCTTTACCCCTTGGTGCTAGAGAAGAGACGCGTTGCCCCAGGAGGGCTGGAGGATTGGCGAGGTTGTGCGGGCCCGCTGCGCCGTCAGCCGCCAACAGCAGAGCGGGGTCGTCATTGCTAACCTCCTGGAGACCCAAGTCAGCTTCATCGCTGTAGATTTAATAATCTACGTGTTTGAGGACAATGATTTTGGAGGGGGGAGAGTCACACCTCAGTTCCTTGACCAGGGATTGAACCCCAGCCCCAACAGTGAAAGCACCTAGTCCTAATCACTGGACCACCAGGGAACTCCCAATAATCTACATTCTTTTTGACAGAAACAGATTTCAGTCCAACAACTGTGATCACTCTAGCCAAACCTGTGAGGAAGCAAAACTGGTTTAAAAAGAAAACAACCACAAGCGTAATATTCTGACCCAAGCACGAGGGGAAACGAAGCACTTTGGTCGTTTCCATCACCAGCGTGTTTCAATGATGGGACGATCCCAGAGCAGGCGAGGACAAGGACGTCCCCCGTCGTGAGGTGGGGTGAGTGGGAAGGTAGCCAGTGCCGGGACGTGTCTGGGGAAGGTCAGGCACCGACTGGACAGATGACACGCGCTGACTCCAAATGCAGAGGAGCTGGCAGGGGGACCAACACCAAAACCGCTGGAAACAAATCGCTAAGCTGAAGAACTCCCAGGGACCTGTCTGCCCTGGAAACATACACACTCGTTTATGCAGGCGCCTTCCTCTCTCCTGTCCTGTGTCTGTCTTTGTTGTTGCTGTTCACTTGCTAAGTTGTGTCTGACTCTTTCCTGTCGTGCAGACTGCAGCTTGCCAGGCTCCCCTGTCTTTCACCATCTCCCGGAGCTTGCTCAAACTCATGTCCATTGAGATGGTGATGCTATCTAATCATCTCATCCTCTGTCGTCCCCTTCTTATCCTGCCTTCAGTCTTTCCCAGCATCAGGGTCTTTTCCAAGGAGTCAGTTCTTCGCATCAGGTGGCCAGAGTATTGAAGCTTCAGCTTCAGTATCAATCCAAAGAGTATCCAGGACTGATTTCCTTTAGAATTGACTGATTTGACCTCCTTGCAGTCCAAGGGACTCTCAAGAGTCTTCTCTAGCACCACAATTAGAAAGCATCAACTCTTCAGTGCTCAACCTTCCTTATGGTCTGTCTACCGGACTCCTATGCAACCCCCATGGCCCTCTCAGACCAGCACCCTGGGTTGAGCTTCCTCATGAGTTTTCATTAGGAACCTACTGCCCTTCTCATCATCTCAGCATCTCCCAAGCCCTTTGCTTTAAACATCCTCGGCTCTGCTCCCGACATGAGCTTACACCACAGTGGCCTGTGCCCCTTCTGGGGGTCACGTCCCTCTCCTCCAGACTAAAAGTTCCTTGACAGCAGGAGTTGTGTCTGAATGGTGTTTTCAACTCAGAAGATTATGTGGTACAAATAGACAGCGCCGGCTGGCTGGGCATGCCAGGAAAAGCCCTTCAGGTATGTTCCCTTCAGAGTGAGGCTTGGCCCCCCACTCTCCCTGCAGAGCCGGGAGCTGGGCTCACAGCCCGGGATGCCTCAGACACCATCTAGGCCTCCCAGGCCCGGGAGCCGGCTCTCCGGGTGCTGGAGTCCTGCCCCAGGGCCACTGTGCGACGCCTCTGATGCCTCCCCCACAAATCCCGAGCTGGCCCTTCAGCAGTGCTGAGCCGGAAGCCTGAATGGGGTCGGGAAGCTTGAGCTCTGATGTGGCTCAACAGCAGCGGCGGAAGGAGAAGAAACATGGCTGGGGTCGAGCCAGGCCTCGGCCTCACCGAGAAAATCGGGACTCTGAGGGCCCCGCCAGCCCCACGCGGCCTCTTCCGCACATCCATCCCGGGAGGCGCACGGAGCCCGCCTCCGCGAGCAGGCGCAGCTCCGGGGGCGGCTGGTGAACTGTACGCTATTGTATGGAGATTATCCAACTGCCGACAGACCGTGGGGAGCTCCTTACACGTGCCGTCAGACAAAAACTAAAGTGCCAAAGCTGGCCAGTGACTATTATGGGAAATCGATTCCAACATTAGCCAAAGAAATCCACCTCATCGTGGGTATTATGAAGAACTTATTATTAAGTGGGTTCAAGAAATAATGACTGCCCTCTGCTTTCAGAAGTACTAACCCACAGTGAGAAAATATAGACATGCTGTATTTATCCTTCCTTCCAAGGTCTGGGTGTTAACCAGCCCTTCCTGGTGACGTGGCCATCAGTCAAAACGCGGGCTTAACAGAAGCCACACACGGCAATTACTCCCTGAACGTAAAACGCTGTGGCCCCGGGTTGACAGAGGGACAGACTGCTGCAGGGACAGTCACCACTGACCATGAGGGGATGCCCCCAGGGGAAGGGGACAGAGGGCTGCGGAACTGCCCGGAGGTGGACCACCGACCCACACGGGGCCCCTTGCCCTGGGCCTGCCCCCCCAGTGGGGGCTAAATTTGCAGGCAACACCCAGGCGAAGCTAGTGGTAAAGAACCCGCCTGCCAGTGCAGGAGACACAAGAGATGCGGGTTCAGTCCCAGGGTGGGGAAGACCCCCTGGAGGAGCGCAGGGCAACCCACTCCAGGATCCTCTGCCATGGGCAGAGGAGTCTAGCGGGCTACAGTCCGTAGGATCGCAATGAGTCGGACACAACTGAAGTGACTTAGCACAGACCCACACCCAGGGCGCAGGAGAGTGTGGGCCTCAGTTTACACTCGCCTGTTTCCCCTCCAGAAGGGGTGGGAAGGGAGGCAGCGGAGAGGGGGGCAGAGGGGGAGGGGGCATTGGGGGGAGGGGGCAGCGGGGGGAAGGGCACTGGGGGCGGAAGACAGTGGGGGAGGGGACAGCAGGGGAGGGGGCAGTGGGCGAGGGACAGCGGGCAGGAGGGGGCAATGGGGGGAGGGGGCAGCTCTCCCTGCTCCTCCACCCACCCAGGCTCTGGCCCCGTCCTGAGGGCCCTGAGTCCTCAAACCCAGACTCAGGCTCCCGGGAGAAGCCCAGGGCCGTGTGCAGGCACTGATGCCCGCCCCCAACACAGGGAGGAAGCCTCTTCCTGGGGACGGTGGCCAGGACCCTGTCCTTCTGGAGTCGGCAGCTCCTAAGGGGGACTCCGGCCACGCCACCCAGGCCAACAGCTCAGCAGTGTCCATCCTGTCCCCTTACAGGCTCTGCCCAAGGCCAGGCCTGAGAGCTTCCGGGACTCACACATTTGCAGAGGGCTGGCCCAGTCCTGTCTTTCAAGGGGTGCACACCCCCAGCTGTGCCCGTCCTGCAGGCCCCCCAGGGGTCCTCACGGAGCAGCCGCTCAGGACAGCCAGGGTCCCTCCCTGAGTCAGGAAGCTGAACACAGGGTGCTTAGAGTGAGCAGTGAGGGTGGCCTTCCGCCTCAGAGACCACCTGGAGGGCATGGGGGTGCAGGACGTGGAGACGGGGAGGCCCCTGGCAAGATAACAGGGAGCGGGGCTGAGTGTGAGCCTGAGAGCCACCCCGGGGAGTGCACAGCATCCCAGGAGGTTGAAAATGGCAGCCCCCAGGCCTCATGTCCCCCTGCCTGCCTGGGGCGGGGGGCAGGGAGCAGGAGCCCACATGCACCACTCCCCACAGTGACGCTGGTTCTGACACAGTGACGGAGGAAACAGACAGAACAGGCTCCACCTTGAGAGCAGGACTCCATCTTGGGCTGGACTGTGGACTTTGAGTTCTATGCCCAGGATCTATGGAACCGACAAATCAACTGGAAAACCAGGCCCCCTGGATGGAAGAGCCCAGGGCTCGTACCTAGACTCTCCATCACCTAAAAGAACACCCTAATTATCTGTGTAACCAAATAGAATCATACATTCTATTATGCTTATTGGGGTATGACCACTGGCCTATTGATAATTGTCCACTGTTAACTACCTAGGCTTAAGGCATATGAATCACGGGTTAACTTTGATTGTATCTTTCTTTTCCTTTGTTCAGACTAGTTTCAGAGAATTTGGGGAGGTGGGTTTGGGCACGTACACTTAGGATATATAAGGGTTTCACAAAACTGGTTGGGGTCCTTGGCTAAGAGGAGATTCTGCCTTGGGCCTGCCCGTGTAATAAACTGCACTCCACTATCTGCATTGTCCTTCCAAGTGAATTTGTCTCCCGGAACGCATGGCTACAACAGCAACACCCAGACCATCTTCTCAGGCCCTAGACTGTGCTTCTGTCAGGAAACACAGCAACGGCAGGGCAGCTTTGGGAGAAAGCTGGGTGCAGATACCCATCAGTGTCCACCAAGCCGTGTGATGGCTGAGCACTCCCCGAGACCAGCCGCCAGGACACACAACTGCAGTATGTGACCCAGAGTGCACTGAAGGCTCCCTAACCCTCACAGCTGGCCTCGAGCCTGCTCCTGGGAACCTGACGGAGGAGAGGAAAGGGGGACAGTCAGCCTGGAGATGGACCCTCACGGCACGTCCTGCCTCAGCCACTCGAGGACCACCGTCCTGGGCCAAACCGTGGGCCCACCCTGTATCGGCCAGCCCCTGGGGGAGTCCTCATCCCCAGCTCGGCCTGCAGGGCTCCCAGGCAGCTCGCCTGGTGACTCAGATCTCCCTAATGAGAGGATCGGCCTTTGCAGGCAGACGGCACCACTGAGAGAGAATTCACAATGACACTTGGTAATTGAAGCTCCAGGGGTTGATTCCACTCCTGTTAGAAGCCCAGGGAACCTCCTCTGTTGTTAACAAGGCCAGGCACCCATGTCTCTGGAGCTCATCCGTTGTGCAGAAGAGGCTGTTAGCACGGCACTCTGAGCTGCTCAACAGTGTTAGAATAAGGATGCCGACAGGAACGGCGTCAGGGGGCCAGGCGTGCCTGAAACCATGACGACAGCAAGAAGTCAGGCCACAAACATGGGCTGAGCCTCAAAGCCTGTCTCGGCCGACCATAGCATCCCAGTGCAGAGGACAGCCTTGTCCAGGGCCCCCTGACCCCAAGTGGGGCTGGGTGAGGGTGTCCCAGGAAGGCGCCCCTGCTTCTGGCTGCTCGTTCAGGGAACACTGGAGGCAAGGGGGCCCAGGCGACGACACTGGGTAGAGATGTCCACAGTGTTTGGTCAAAGCAATTTTTTAAAAAACATTTGGTCAATGTATTTGAGTTAAAACAAAATTGGTAAATGAGACAATTTTAAGAACTGATGAAAAATGAGAAACTTCTAATTCTGGTTACGATGAAGTTAACACACTACACCCATCTGTCCCACTGACTACAAGTAAAAACAACAGGCAGAAAACATAGGCAACCATCTGCGGACACTGAAAATCAAGTAACAGCAGAAGATTGGAGCCAGAACTTGAAAGGCAAAGGAGATAACACAGCAGATAATCTCCTGGTTTATTTCCTCCTGTTTTCCTGGGTTAGACTCCAGGCAGTTCGGATTCAGCAATCCCTTTAAAGAATAATATATCACAATCAACCAGGGTTTGTTCTGAGAATGCAAGGTTGATGCACTTTTGTAAATTAGTCAATGGAATCCACCAGATTAACAGACTGAGACAAAAAATACACGATCATATAGGTTGCAGCAAGAAAAACATTTAACAAAATTTGACAACCTTTCTTTCTCAAGAGGAAAAAAACTCCTTATCCTGATAAAGAGCATTGACCAAAAACAAAACAATTTTTTAAAAGCTATCAATATGAATAGCATCATACTTAATGACAGAAGGCTAACTGCTTTTGTGGTAATATTGGGAACAAGGCAGGAATTTCTTCACTTTCTTTTGCCATTCCTGTTCCACATCCTTCTGAGCCCTAGTCAATGCAGTAAGAAAACAAAATGAAATAAAAAGGCATAGAATATAAATGAAGAAAAAAATTGTCCCTGTGAACAGATAACATTATTGTCTATGTAAGAAACCCCAAGAAATCTACAAAAGTTCTGGAATCAATACATGAGTTATCACATTCCTCACAGAATAAAGGTCAACATATAAAAATCAACTATTTTTCTATATACTAGAATTAATATTTAGAAAGGGAAAAAAATTTTTAATAATGTCATTTACTATAGTTCTAAAAGATAAAACATGTAGGCATAAGTCTAACAAAAGTGAAAGATACAAGAAGTCCTAAATAAATGGAAAGGTATACCATGATCATGGATTGGAACACTCAATTTAGATAAGAAGTTAATTCTCCCCCAAACTCATTTATAAATTTAACACGATCCCAAGCAAATTCACAGCAGGATTTTTAAAAATACATACAGATACTTTTTCGAAAGTTTATATGGAAAGGCAAAGGAAGCATAATAGACAAAATATTTTGGAAAAAGAATAAAATTGGCAGACTCATATTGCTGGATTTTACTTACCCTAAACTGCAATGATTAAGAAAGTGTAATGCTGGTGAGAGGATACACACATAGCTCAATAGAACAAAGAGGGAGGCCAGAAATAGACTCACAACAAAGTGACCAGTTGATCTTTGACAAAAGTGCAAAGACATCTCAATGGAAGAAAGATTATCTTTTCAAGAAATGTTTCTAGAACAACTGGACATCCTTATGCAGGGGGAAGAAAATGCTTACTCCTTGGAAGAAAAGCTATGACAAACCTAGACAGTGTATTAAAAGGCAGAGACATCACTTTGCCAATGAAAGTCCATATAGTCAAAGCTATGGTTTTCCCAGTAGTCATGTATTGATGTAAGAGTTGGACCATAAAGAAGGCTGAGTGCAGAAGAATTGATATTTTTGAACTGTTATGTTGGAGAAGACTCTTGAGAGTCCCTTGGACTGCAAGGAGATCCAACCAGTCCATCCTAAAGGAAATCAGTCCTGAATATTCATTGAAAGGACTGATGCTGAAGCTGAAG